ACTCCGCCGCACGCGCCGTCACGCGCCACCGGGAGGTTCCAGCAGCTGAAGCTCAACTGCGCGCGTGTGAGCGCGTGAGACCTCCGATTTCTGATCGGTTAACGCCGTTGACTTCGCCGTGACGTCAGCTTTCTGGATTGGTCAAGTTCGTTCGAATCCGAGAAGATTTGATTTGCGGTCAACTGTTCGGGCCAACCAGATCTACATAAATTTTAAGCAGTAAGTTTTCTTCATCAAACCTTTAGATCCGCTGCGCATAGGTTTATGTTGAATGTTTGTCCGTGATTTGTGCATATCGAGATCCTCATGGGTTCCAACAGATGATTGATGCTCCGACGTCCTCCCGAACTCGTCTCCTTTGACCCGACGCCTGCAAAACAGAACCTCGGGTTGTCCCCAGGGGTACACCCTTCAATGCTTAAGTTAGAATCAGTTTTAGGTTTTCTGAGGTGGTGGCTGCGGAATGAGTGGAAGAGAGAGTTTATAGTGGTGAGAATATGTATCTTACCTTAACCTAGGTCGTCCTTTTATAGAAGTGGGACGACCTAGGTATCCCTTCCGCAGACGGAGGACTTCCAAGCCCATCAGCTTGGTGGGCTGACTCCAGACCTTGGACCCATAGCAAAGCTCCTCTAGACCTTGGGCCTACAGTAATTCTCCTCAGGACATTGGCCCCAGAGTAAAGCTCTTCGGAACCTTAGGCCTATATTGACGTTGGACTTTGGCTTAATCTTGGACTCTAATGGTTCTCGGAACACATGTGTCTTTGTTCTCCAAAGCCACGTGTCGCCTAATAAATGTATATTTTTTCCCTTATCAGAAATGATAGCTCGGCCTGAGTCCAAAAGGAGAGAGGAAGCTCACCGAAAAAAGAGAGATCAGAACAGAAAAGTGAGGATAGGTGGAGAGGTTGACAAGTAAAGAATGGTCACAAGTACGATAAATATACCAAGTTGAGGTTGAATTAGAGATAGGTATCAGAGACCATGGAGAAAAAGATGCATGAAGATAAGATTTCTTGGCCGAGGTCAAGGAGAGAGAGTCTAACTCAACCTAAATCTGATATGCATTGTCGTTTCTATTGAGACTGTGGTCACACTATAGACAACTGCAGACACCTGAATGATGAAATCGAGCAGTTGATTAGAGTTGGTCACTTGGAGGAGTTTTGTGTACACAGAAGGGTGTTAAGTGTGTTTCGGTTTGTGAGTTTATGATGTTATGTGTGTTTTTTTTTGTTCGTATTTGCATTGGTATTTGTGTTTCTACTATCCTATTTTTTAGTTTTTGTTTTTTCGCTAGTGGGAGTTTTGTATTCTAGTGTTGCTAGTTCCTTAGTCTTGTGACTGTGTTTAGTGTAGTGTTTCTAGGCTGGTTCTGACTTGTATGCCTCTCTGAATTCAGCTTCTGGCTGTTATATTCGACTAGTTAGCTGCTTGTAAATTTGTGTTTTATTATTATATTCTGTCGTTTCAAAAAAAAAAAAAAAATATAATGGCTCATAAAAGCTAGCTTAGTTTTATTTTGACTTCCACTTGTTATTTTATTCTTGAGTTAGTTAGTTATCATTATGATATATCCTCATAAAAGTTGATTTACACTCTTCTTGTAGACTTGCTCCATGTATTTTTTTAATACTTCATTCCTTCTGTGGAATATAACCAAGCCAGGGAATCATACGAAATAAAATCATGATGACGACTTTGGCCATGTGATTCAAATGTACAATTTTTTCTGCTAGTTTTCCTATAGCGATGAGGTTTAGATGTTTACATAACATTCTGTAAAATAAAAAATCATTTTTAAGTGTAGTGGGAAAAGTAGGAGATGATGCCTCATGTGTTTCTTGTGCAATGTCTCGTTTTAAATATGTTAGTGACGTAGCGAAAGCGTAAAAGCAAGAGAGACTAAGAGAGAACTTTGTTATTTTTTGTGTATCCAATCAAAATCAACCAACCCTAAAAACAATAGAATATGAGACTTGAATACCTCTCCTAAGAGAGCCCTACTAACCATAAACGTACCAACTTAATAAAAAATCATAATACTTCAGTAACAGTAAAAATAAAAATAATAAACAATTGAACGAAAGATGCCAAAGGATCATGATTGTCCAAGAAAGTCAATGCATTCTCGTCTCCGACATTCTCCCCTCATGGAAAATATTTGCTCTCGAATATGAAGTAATTTCGTCTCCATCTTCATTATCACCATGGAAAGACACCAGTTTAACAATAAATATGCTTGATTGGGGAGCAAACGCTCGTCACAGGCGAGTACCGCATATTCAAGCACTCTCCCGAACCAACCATGGAACAAAAGGCCCTTTGCCCCAAGGCCTATAAACAACCAATACTTACAAGCAGGGCCCTCATCAACCAACTCGACAAAACTGTCCAGGATCAAAAGTTATCCATACTCAATGAGCGAGGACATTGCCCTCAAACCCCCAATACCTCCATTCACGCTCTAATTTTTTATAGGCGGATTCACCAAGAAAACCTTCTGGACGAGGGCCTCGAATTGCCTCGTTGGCTTCATCACTGGCAACATTCCGTATGTTATTTATCGATTGCCCGCCGCGGGTCAGGGGGTGGTACCAATGATCTAGTCATCCGTCGAGGCAACAATTGTTCTGCTAAAAGAGCCCTTTGGTCTGCATCCAAAATAGACTCCGACACAAAAAGATTCAATGTGTCCTGGAAGGGCAACCACAAACCCCCAATGTACCAACTGGCCTGTCATCTCACAAATTCAACGCACGTGAGTGGTTGATAAATTCCTTGGTGTAACCATTAACTGAGCGAGCGCTTAGACGATGATTTTGTAAACGTTGGTAATTCGTACGAACATAAATATATGATAAAAATTTGCTCCACGTGTTTTTGAAATTTTCCCCAAGTCGCGACTTTTGGTTTACCCTACCACTGCCGCTTTGCTTTAATTTCTACTGCCAAGCGGTAGCTCGGCTCCAGTGACGGACGTAACCCTCTGACCGTCTGACACTTCCTTAAGCCGAGGATATATTCGATTGCCCTGATCCAATCCATGAAGTTGGTGGATTCAAGACCCCCGAAGATTTCAAGGATATCAATCCTGGAAGACAAGTCCTGTCGTTGGTCATCGGCGAGCCGCCTGTCGTCTCGCATCGAGAATGTAACAAACGAATTCACCTCGAAGATGATGTCTTCTTGATTCTCGTTCCTAAAGTACGAAGGAGGTGATCGGGAGCGGGCTAGCCCACGTTGACCCCGATTGCATCCACCGCACCCTCCCCAGCGGTCACCACGCACAACGGCGAGTCCATGATGCTCACGCTCGTTGTAGCCAGCTGCGGCCATCGCTAGGCAGATCTCCTCCATAGTCGCCGCTAACGCCTTGAATTGGAGGTCCAATGTCGCGATGTCGGCGTCGCACCTGTCGGCTGCAGCGTCGTTTCTTTTTGGCAGCATGACGTAGGAATCGTATCTGGGTCTGTTGATACCAACTGATGTAGTGAAAGCATAAAAGCGAGAGATATTGAGAGAGAACTCTCATTTCTTTTTCTATACTCAATCAAAATCAACCAATCCTAAAGATCATGGAGCCTTAAATACCTCTCCTAATAGAGCCCTACTATATATAAACTCAACAACTAAATAAAAGAAAAAAAAAAAATTACTTGAATAACAATGATAATAAAAATGATAAATAATTAAACTAAAAATAAGAAAGCCAATGCAATCTCTTATCCATCAATTAGGCTATTTGGTTAATCAAGTCTTATTTGTTCGTCTGAAATTGTTAAAACAAGCCAGCTCTAGATAGGTGAAGACTGAAGAGTGACTTGCTATGCCTACTAAAAGTCTAAAACTCGTTGTAACAAATGCTACGAAATGTTAATGAGTTCCATGAGCCAAGTATTGTATGTAAAAGAAATATACACATCTAAGTGATAGAACTTTATGTTAGTTGTTGGTTTAGCAGCAAATGATTCTTTAGACAAGAAAACCAAGGTTATTTAAAATTTTAAGAACAAGGGTGACAAGAGTTTCCTGTACAATGTTAGAGAAGATAGGATTGTCATCTATTGGGCTCCATTCATCATAGTTTGATGCTGGTGCTTTTGAAATTTCAAGTTTGAGAAGATGCCATGTCCAGGCCCTGCCCTTCCATGTCTATGAATGAGGATGCTCTTGGCTCGACATTGTTTGTTCTGTTGCGCACACAACAAATTTATCATTAATCAACCGAATTTCATTTTACATTATCATTTTCGTCCACACTCAGTAAGGCCTAACAAGAAACCCAACCCCCAACACGACAGACGCCAGCACCACAGAAATCAAAGTCACAAAGGTCGAAACCCGGCCACTATCCAGCCTGAAAAACATACCCTGCAGAAAGTACCAATTCACGACCACCCCAAACAAGGCAAGCACGGCCTGTGCTAAAAGTTCGTCCCACGCACGTGCCAGTTTGGCAGCCCCAATGACACAGCACAGCAAGTTGAGCAAGTAGAGGCTGCACATGGGCGTGAGCATGAGTGGGGATATCTGGAAATCGTATATGCCCACCTCGTAGCGCTTCACCTCATCCTCATCAACTGCTTTGTTGGTTAGGGTGAAGTTAGCCTGGAGGAGGCCGAGCCTGTAAGAAACTGCATTCAGAATGGCGTAAAAGTGGCACGACCCTGACTTCATCATCCACACCCTCAGTTCATACACAGCTGTCATGAAATCGTCCCCATAGGAGATGACTTCCTGGACGTGCTTCAGCTGTGACGAGATGAAGATGAAAGCAAACACGAGGAACATTGGGTCCGAAATCTGCGTGAAGGTCAGAATATGATTATTATTATTATTTTTTTTTTTTTTGGAACTATACCTGTTATTTATTATCAAGACTCACCTTGGGATACAGAGGAATTCCGAGCACTAGGCAGAGTGGAGGGATGATCCCTAAACCATAAAAGGGGACGGTGTAGAGACAGTCGAATATAAGCGCACCATAACCCATTCTCTGAAGAACTGACATTCTGAGTGGGCCATATATGAGAGGGGTGTATCTCGACAGCCCAATCTGCATCAGCCCAAAAGACCAACGAGTCTGCTGAACCAACATGTCGTTCAACTTGGTCGTGCATGAGCCCAAGAAGCATGGTCGGACAGGGTCGAGCAACACTGAAATCCAGCCCTTGCAATGTAACTCGAGGCTAGTAATAGCGTCCTCCACTACACTGAAATACGTGTAACCAACCTGCAATAGAGAACAAACAAGTAAAAATCTACATGTCATTTTCCATTATATAAGCAGAAAAAAAAAATACTTGCCTCGACACCCCATTTCGTGTCATTGTCATAAGTACAAGTAGCCACCAACCGCAACTCCTTTTCCAGCGCTTCAGAGGGCTTTCTATGCTCCGGCAACTGCGGGCTGTAATTTCGGTTAATTGATTTGATGAACTCGTTGCTTGCGCCGAATGAGTCCTTCATTTGGTTGATATCAATATCTGGACACAAATGTAATCAAAGGAAGTTGATAATTCCAAGCGAATTTACTTGTGAGGATTATTTAGTTGTAAAGAAAAATGTACCCTTTAGATTTCTGTGAAATCCATAGATTGCTTCCCTGGTCATGAAAAAATTGCAACCATAGATGGTAGGCCCTCTAACTCCATCTAAGCCTCGACCTTCCCTCTGCAGTTTTTCATATGAATGAATCAGATTGATACAAGCGAGCAAAACACGGTCCTGCAAATTATCATGGAGAGCAATGCAGATCAAATACCAAAAAGGAGTACAGCCGACCATCATAGATGTCATGCTTGCTCGTGTTGCGGAATTTCTGTGGGAACTGAACCCAAGCTATTTCATGAGAGATTTTGGGGTCAAGATAGAAGCACATGGCTTGGCGAGCAGATGATGGGTCCTCACAGTACATGTCACAGTCCAACACCAAGAAGTATGGAGCATTACTGATCAATGCAGATACTCGGAGCTGCGAGACATATTCGTACATCATAATGTGGGTGTATAGGGAAAGTGAAACGGATGCACACAAAAATGTGAAGTTCTTTAGAAATCGGTAATCCAGGTTAGTGGAGATCCAATGCTTAACATCGACTCTATTGCAAACACAATGTTCAAGAGATTATTTTTATACACTCGAACAAATCCTCCAACAATGGAGGAAAATTTACAGACAAAAAAAAAAAAACGAAACGCTAAGGTGTAAGAGTGCTTACAAGAGTATTGAGTGCTCCTCCTTTGAAATGGTGTGGATGGCCAGGCCTTTTCTCCCGTGAGACGTACACCAGAAGAGGCATCTCCTGAATGGAGCCCTCTGTCATCACCTGGCAACACAACCCTTAATTGTCATTTATTTTTCGGCTAGTAAGTAGGTTGTGATAAATATATCAACATTTGAACCATCTCAAAACATAGGGAAACCCACATTGATCCAATCAGTATACTTTCACCACTGTCACTGACAGTATGAAAGACCAAAGCAATGTTATTTCTCATCTGGTAGCATTATCTCAATAAACATTATACCTCGATGGTGGGCGAATGATCTCGGCTAACAGAACCCGGCGCGTCGACTGAATTCTTCTCAATTGCATCCTGGAATTCTCCGTACTTTTTCTGCAAACAACAGAAAAAATTTGAAGAATAGTAACTCGAACAAACGGTGAACACTACAAAATTGCGGTCGATCGATAAGTTCAACAGAAATCCCGACCAACCTCGACGATCTTCCTGTCGGCCACAAACTCACTGGTCCCAATGAACTTCTCGTCGGCACTTTCCCTGCCTTCAAAGTAAAGCTGTGGGCACCTGGAGCTAAGCTCGTATTTCCTGCAGAAAGGAATCCACCAGGTTGCGAATTTCCAGGCCTCGCGCACGGCGAGCAGGGTCACATGAGAGCCCCCGTCGTCGTGGAGATAGACGGCAAGCTTATCCGGCGGGTAATCGAGCGACATAGCCGAAATCACAGTGTTCATCACCACCAGGGACGGCTCCTTGATGGGATCTGCCGTGCAAACAAACACGTCGACGGGCGAGAGATTGTCGTCCTCCGGCAGCCTCTCCGGGTAGACTGTCCGATTCACCGGAATCCACCTGAAGGCCTGGTGCAGGATCCAGAGGAACGTGAGGACAGCTTCTGAAAGGATGACGACCAGGTAGGGCACGACGGGGGTCTCTCTGGTGCGGATAATGCGCCGGAGGGTGGTGGCTCTGTAGTAGAACACGGCAAGGATGGCTGCGGCATTGAGCAGCATGTGGAGCCTGTTGATGACGAGGTTCTTCCACAGCACACGGCGGACGTTGAGGGGCTCGGCCATTGAAAGATCACGGCAGACGCAGAGTTGACTTGAGTGACAGTCGAAATTGTGATGAAGGAGGGAAAAAGACAAAGCAACACTGAAGTGGCTAGAACATTAGATTAATAATTAGAAGATAGCTACCGTCCCCTTACGGAATCATTCCGTCGGGGTTTGCAACCGTTACATTAACTATTTATGACGGTTACATAATAATCTAACGGTTACAAAACCTGACGATTTTAGCATTTTCCTAATAATTTATTATACTATTAAATTGGGAAATTAGAAAAGAGGAAGAACGAACGCAGTGCACGTCACGCGGGTCGTTATTAGATAGGACAAGTGGACTTATCGATCCAATCACTGTTTGATTCCATTAATTATGGGCCATATAATCCACAGTATGGAAGAAATAATCCTCATCAATATTATGATTATAAAAATGGAAAATGCTAAAGTCCTGGAATGATTCCTCCAAAAAAAAAAAAAAAAAAAA